TACATGAACCGTTAATGCGTTGAACCCACTTGGTTATGAGTTAAAGATGACGGACACTCAGCGATCAGAGACTGACTTCTTCAACATTTTTGAGTTTTTCCCTACTACAAAGAGTTGTATATAAAGACTCCCTCTGAAGGGTGAGAATGTAGCTTTCATCTCCTGTTTAGTTCTGTACACACCACACACAACACCCTTATATGGGATAGGAATTTAAAGCGTCTTAGACACAGTGACACTAGCCGCGTCTTCTCCTGTTCCACCATGAACCCTTTTCCGTTTGTCGGCAACTGCACATCTAGTCGCTTCAGGGTTAGTCATTAGAAGAATTTCCTCACCGTTTGCACCCATGATGTGAAGAAGCAGTAATCGCGCTTCCACTCTTACTTCTGACAAGTCAGCTGTGAGTCACTATCCGGTCGTACGCGCCGGTACCATTCTTGTCATCGAACCTATATCCAGTGTTAAGATTAGTTAATATGTAGCAATTTCCCTACCTGGCCTAGTCTTGTCTACATGACCACTTCTATCGCGAGGCTCCGCGCGGTGATCAGAGCCCGCGTCATATTAGCCGATTTTTCTCTTTATCCACACTTCTGGGAATTACTGCCTTTGTTTCGCCACACTTCCTCTCGAAGGGCAGTCTTTACTGATGTGCCCAAGCTTGCGACACCTATAGCTCCTTTGCTCTTTGATCACATCTCTCCTATTGCTTCTACCCAAATTTCGCGATCGTTGCACATCTCGTCTCTCCAGACCTACTGCTTGTGGTATTTACCTTCATATTCAGGCCTCTTACCTTGCGGTCTTCTTTCCATCTCTCATTGTAAAGCGATCTTTTTTTCCAACTCATTTGCCGCCTCTTTGTGGTACTTCTTGTGCCATTGTTTAGACTGCTGTATAGAATTAACTCCTTCACTGAGTCGTGCACGTCCCTTGGATCAGCCCGGAGGAGTACGCTCATTCTAGGGATGTACGGTGGCTAATCCTTCAAATTGCACAGTAGTATATGTTCGTGCTCTATAGACCTGTTGCTTACAGTGCATGAGTTATTCGTCTGCCGTCCCAAATTCTCCGAAACTACTTAGAACTCTTACACACTCTGACCTGTTTTCCGCATGAGGCTCCTTGGTTCCGCTATGGCTCAAGGCTGGGAAATCAGCAGTGAATCACTAGCTAACACTTTTCTCAATTCACTGGCGACCTCCACAAATACCCTTTCTTCGACCTCGGTGGATAAGCTCAAAAAAACACTTCTGGCGCTGTTTTCGCTCTGCCTTGTGAATAGTTATTGTCCAGAATGTTACCAGTGTTTGGTCTTTTGGATCTCCCTTCCGAATGGTCATCGTCCAGTATGTCAACCTGAGTTTTGCCAAATATAGCTATACTGCACTACCTTTCAAAACGTCCAAGAAACTCGTTCACGTTTTCCTATGACCTCCTTAGATTACGTTTAGGTTTTTAGATGCGTTGGACCGTACTAGAGCCATAAAATGAACTGAGTCTGACCTTGATCTCTTCATGGGACTCCTTCCGATGCTTTCGAATGTTACCTTCAATGTGGCGCGGAGGATGCTCCAATTCCAGCCAGCATCGTCCTCAATAACTTTTTTTTCCGTAATCAATTTTCTTTTACATATTCTCCATACTGAGGGCCGCTTCTCCATCCTTCACGGACAGCCTCAGTCTCCAATGTTTCCTGCTCAATGCTGGGTGCTCTTCGCTGTGGCTGAAGCACTTGCACACGCTGCACCTCTTCCAGCATAGCACAACTTCACTAACATTTGCGTTGAACATCTCACATGCGCCGCATCTCCTTCTTCTTGCAAGAAAAGCCGATAAAAACACTTGCTGTCTTAGTACCCTAGCCATGAACAATTCTGAACCGTTCTCACTTGATCTCTTGTAGCCAAATAGGTCTACTCTAATAGTCAGCTCTTTGCACTGTTGATCTGCTTCTCAATCACTTAAAGACAGCTCCCGCGATAAAAGTCTCATGGATAGCTGCTTTCCAATTATGAAACAGCAGCTGATAAGTAATCTCCCAAAGAAGAAAACAGGCAAGAAGCGTTCTCCAGAACAACATAAACAAAATCGCTCCCTCACAGTTACACCTCCCTGCGGTCTCTGTGCAGCCCCTAGCTCACAAGTCTCTCTATCACATCTCGCAGTAGTTGATATCATCCAGTGCAAAAGAAAGAATACAAAAAGAAAACAACAAAAACGCAGAGGAAAAACTCTGGGAAGGAAAAAGGAATTTTATCAACACGGTGTCTGAATTTGTGATTACGGTAGCGCACCTTTTGTGCGTCGTGGTTTTGCATCACGAAAATTGCGTCACTCGTGTTTTTTACGCGTTTCACCTCGCGAAATGGGTTGAATTGAATGTATATACCTCCAATGAGTAAACTGTAATGAAGGAGAGCAGAATTATCCAGGGGCATTAGCAATGCCCGCCGCCCCAACTAAGAACAAGTGAGTGGCCTCCGTCGGAGGACATCTAGCAAGTAAAGGCGGTCCGACTGAGGAGGAGTTAGAACTAGCACTTTGAGCGGCTATAGCAGCCTCCACGCTCACAATAGAGTCGCGAAAGGTGAACAGTCTTCTAGCTTGGAGGCTAGACTACTTGCACAGCAAAGGCGACCACGAGCCACTTTGATCGCGGGGGCTGTCTTTAAAGTGACTTCTTCCCTTATTTGCTTACAACCCTTCCCTTCCCTAGGTGCTCGCCACTTTATCAGGCACTTTCTGATAGTACATAATACCTTGTCCGACTCCTCGCTCACACTCGCCTCCGAGAACCCCTGAAGATTCTACTAACCTGATCCACTTCTTGTCCATTTTCTTGCGCCAATGAAGCTCCCACGAATGCTTCCAATAGCATTTTCCTGGAACAGCTCCTATTATTCTCTAACCCATCTTTAAATCTATTAGGCTATCACGATAAACAGAAGAAGTTGACGACACCGGTATACAGGTGACGGAAGAAAACGGAATTCTCTTCTCCCGCGCTTCCTCACCCTTCAGACGTCCTACTGCGCATCCCGCAGACCGACCTCACCTTGTTCCTTGCTAATCTGATCGAACACCTTTTCTTCGGCTTCTTCGACGTGTTTCCATCGATCCTCAGATTTCTGGCTGCCCCATTTTGGCCTCATGTCGCTCCGTCTAACATGTTCTACCAGAACAATTCAATCTTCCATCATGCTCGTTCCCGTGCAACAAACAATTTAGCTTCGGAACTCAACAGAGGTATGGACTTTTCAATTGTAGTGTCGGCAGATCGCAAAATGGACAGGACAGGTTTATCGTATCGTTTATCGTATCGTATAGTTTTGTAATGTAATCGACAGTGGGCAACAGAAAACTACAAGAACAATAATCAGACCGCAAAGGACAAAATAACGAATCAGACGAGTGGATGCTTTGAATAGGGCTGGCTGACCACCGATGTGTTCTATCACTCCGATAATGCCATTTACACCTTGGTTCTCGCCCAGATCACGCCACTTCGCCGATCAGCCATGACAACCCCCACAGCTCAACTATTGCATCTCCAAAATGGCATCTACAAATTTCGGAGACATATTCGACGCTCTGATCGCGACACCGACATTCCATTTTGTCTCCGGTGCTATTTTTCGCCAATTTGGTACCGCAACTTTCCATCACTGAAATTGTGGCGAACACGCGCAGAGTAATTCTCGACTTGCAGAAGCCGAAGAAGAGCAGCTATTGCCTTCATGGCAAGAGGCAACACATCTCCTTTTTGAACCCCTGGTTCTATCGGAGGCGGACTCGATAGGTTTGTCTTTATATCCAACTCAAGCATGAAAGGACAGCATATTTCGAGTTCATACTTTTTCCTCTGAAACTTGTTTGCACATGTTTATCACGGCTTTCCGTGGGATCGAATCACTATATAAGCCCTTCTGCGAATTTTATGGCATCTCGTTTTGTCTTCCTCGACTGAAAGATTCGTAACTCTGAACCTTCGTACCTTAGCTGTTGCAATCCCTTCATTCTTATTGCGTTGCACCACATAATATGTTAACTCGTTTGTGTTCATGCTATTTGAGTTCGGTTAGTGTTTTTGTTTGCACATATCAAGCACACATGGAGACCGCAACCACGATGAAAAGTAGAGTCAGGAGCGAAGAGAGAATACACACGTTTGAGCCTACCTAACCTCACGGAATCCTACTTCATCTGAGCTTGGGGCCCATCTCATCTTAGCTTAGGCGTGATAGAGTGAGGTCCAGTTTCATCTACTGCTGTCCTGGAAGCGAGTGCGCTGAATAAAGCTTTGGAAAGCTCTATACCGGTTTATACTTCACGCATCTTCCACCCAATTATTCAAGAAAATCGCCATAGCCGATGCCTTCAAAGGAGTTTTTTACATTGCTGCTCGCAAGGACACCAACTACAACGAGGTAGAAGAAGCGCTCCAGATCATTGTCCGCGAATGTACTAGCAATCTTCTAGTGGAAAAGTAATCTCGATTTTCCTAGTTGCGGCAGTTTACAGGTGTCTATCGGCGAGGCAAAGGAAGTCAGTTCAACTTCCGATGGCGACGACGATTTTAACTTAAATGGCTCCCTTCCGCGGAAAGGTTTTCTGAAGAATGACTCATTCCTGAAAGCACTATTAGTTCGAACTCATCATAATGTAAGTCGGGAAGTATGTCAGGATGTTCACAGATCAAACATGCCATACCAAGGAACGGACAAGAGGACTTG